GCGCATATGCGTACTATGCGCATAGTGCGCATAGTACGCATAGTGATGAACTATGCGCGCATTTGCCCATCTCTAGTTGTTGGTCTAATTCTCCTTTACTTCCTTTGATTTTTAAATATGTCAACTAACGGAGGTAGTGCTTCATTTGAATTCCCAACGATCATTTTTGACAACGCAAGTAAGTTCTTCATCTGAAGAGTATTTAATTTCTTCATTTGGATCGTGAAAAATTCCAAATGGTCGTTCTTCGAATTTGATAACGTAGGTAGATGATGAACTACCTCCTTTATCAAATTTTAAAAAACGAATGTTTGAGATTTCTCCGTTTCACTTCTTCATCTGAGAAAAGAACTGTCGGGACTTATATGTTTTTGTGCATGATTTTTGATTCTGATATTGAATAGTGCGTGCAATTGTTTATCAATCTGACGATGATTCTTCGGACAAATTTTCATTTGCTTTAGCAATTTTCCAATATCTCCGATTTGCCTTTCGCTTTAGTGTTCTTCATATTGAATTATCGTTAAATCATCTTTAAATTATCGGTGATTTCAGGAATTTGAGGTGAGAACAATGGAGGGTATTGGATCTCATTCATTAAGAGATACATTTTGTGCTGCAAAACCGGAGTGTTGTGTCCTGTTTGTGTATTTTTTATTTGCTTTTATACAATAATTTGGCGTCGCGTAGATGGGCAAAAATGGCGGTATAAATAACTATCGTTGCAAAAAAAATTTGTTTATCGTGCGTGTTCACCCGATGCTATTGCTATGATAAAATTTATGGGCTTGGTACAAACATTCCGGTGTCATTTGGATACACATGCATGATTTCTTTTTTTGCCATTAATTCACTGGGGTTTCACAGATGGTCTGATAGATAAGTACAATGCATCACCATTAGTATGCTTGATGAAAAACGCTAGCAAAGGGTCGATAGTTTTTTCAATCGATCTTAATAATCTACCCCTTAAATTATTGATCAACAAACTTATTGTGTAATAAATTATACCCCCTAGCTCATGAGACGATATATAAAGGTTTTTCAATTCTTTTCAATCCCCGATGTTACGATATTTACATGAGTTTTTACTTTGGCTTTTTTCTTTGAAGTTTCTTTGGCCACCAAGTTTCTTGAGTTTTCTTCGAGTTTCTTTGGTGTATAAGATTCCTGGGGACGCCTAGGTTTCTTTGTCAGAGTTTCCTCTCGTT